TAAAAAACTGGACAAAAATATTCTGCACTTCGTTTTTGAGTTTACATTTCAAAATGCAAAAACAACATATTTCAAAATTTTATGACGATTCTATAAATATAAGATAACAAAAGAGCAGGGCCAAACCGAAAAATAATTATATAATAAAAACCGAAAAATAAATGTAATGTTTATCTTGAAAGTGTTATCATCTTGGATTAAGATGAAAATACACTGAAAAATAGCATTTAGCAAGACGTAATGGGTCTACATTTCACACCTCCTTATTTTATTGTTTTGCTCTATCAACCTTAAATCACCAGAGAGCACCATTGCAATAAATATTGAACCGCATTTTTGTTTTATAAGCCTAGGCCCTAGATAATCTGTAGTCCAATCCAGTTGTATCATAGTTTCTATACCTTTACAACTGCTCAGCTAACTGGAAATCAGTATCAGTTTTTTTAGGCCTGAAAAATGTTGCCATTAGATAACATTGGCCTAAATCTTTGCACGTTAACTATTGTCTGCAATTAAGTCTAGAAACACCAGAAGTGTCGTTCTGTCAGCAGATGGCGCTGTATACTTTCACATCCAGTTCACTCATACTGCATTTACTAGTCCAATCTTTCTAAATAGAGTGCTGCTCTGTCAGTGAATAGAGAGTAGCATATAGATAATATCCAGCCTATCATGTTGCTTCACATGAGATTCATACCAAAATATGTATTACTACTGTTAAATTAGGGCTTGGCGATATGGCCAAAATTGATATCACGATATATTTCTTATATGCTAAATGTGAAGCATTTGTTTAAAGGTACAATATGTACGTTTTTGCCGCTAGAGGGTGCGTATTCAAAACAAACAAAGAAACAAAGGCGTAGTTTGTTCTAGTGGTTTTTGGATATTTTAATAAAAAAATCTTACATATTGTGCCTTTAATTGTGTTGTAATATCCATATGCATATTTAATGTCTCTTACCATAAAGTATTTTCACAGAAAGAAGTTCATCCCTTGCTGCCTGCACCATGAAGCCTTTGTCTGAGGACCAAGCTCTTTATTCATTTTAATCTTCAATCTTGTCATATATTTGTCAATAAAAGTAGAATGTACTTTTAGGCCATACAAATTTCAACAAATAGGCTATGTGATCTTTCACACCCATTTTTCCAATATTCCAAAATCCTCATTAGTAATTTTGAACTACCTATCTAAAAACCTGCTTAAACCAGCCTAAGATGGTTTGCTGGTTTAAACTGGTTTAAAATGGTCTCCCATGCCGACCAAGCTTGCCAGCCTGGCCAAGCGGTCTTAAAAGTACACATTCCTTTTACATTGTTTTATGTTCATTAATAATATGTTTATGTTTTACATTGTTTTATGTTCATTAATATGTTTATGTTTTAAGAGTATGCAAGTTCTCACAGACCGAAAAAGTTAAATTGCAAATGAATACGAGCTCTTTAATTTCACCTAGCGATTCTAGCCACCAGAAATCGCGTTCGTCTGAGGTAACCATAGCAACAGAAGCCTGCTCGAGCCGTTCGGATCGGTATGGGGTGTACACAAACATAATTACTGTCATTATTTATTACTTTTAAAAGTTATTACAGATTTTTAGATAACCTACATATAACACGTTTATCACAAAAATAGTTGTTTGTTTAAAAATAGTTGACATTTGGTTATTATGACAGTTGTCAATCAGTCCACATCGTATGTTCCATTTGATATTTAGCGCTGTCAAACGATTAATCGCATCCAAAATAAAAGTTTTTGTTTATGTGTGTGTAATGTGTATATTTATTATGTATATATAAATACAAACACATGCATGTATATATTTAAGAAAAATATGTTATGTTTATATATTAAATATATTTATGTATAATATAAAATATAAGAATATGAATGTATATGTAAATATTTAAAATATATATACACTCTATGTGTGTGTATTTATATATGCGTTCTAAATATACACAGTATACATACATATATTATGTAAACAAAAACGTTTATTTTGGATGCGATTAATCGTTTGACGGCACTAAATTTACATTCACATCACTACTTATTTGACGACTTGTACCGACAAGCCAAGTCTGGTGGATCCCGCCCACTAACATATCAAAATGTTAGAGAGAGAGAGAGTGAGAGAGAGAGAGAGCGAGCGAGCTCCTCTGGCTGGGCTGCACACTGATAACTGAAGTATATCATCAGTGCAGCAGCTGTCTCAGAAGGCGGTAAAGCGATGTCTCATTGACTCAGGTGCGTAATGATCGAATTCCTGTGCAGATGTTTCCTTTTTAAAATAATAAATGCACTTGTCTTTCCTAACTAACTCTGTGTTATGTTTTCTCAGCAGGTGTCAGGGCGCATTCAGGTGGTCTCGCGTGCGCATCATGGTCCCTTAATTGAATCTGGGACTGCAGAGAAACGAGCACCGCTGGCACGAGCAGCTCGCAAGCTATGCCCGTCACACAATGTGGAACATGGCACGCTTGAAGATGCCCTGGGTCTCGTGCGGACACTTTCCACTTTTCCTGTGTCTGTTTCTACCGACACTCTCATCTCATGCGCTTGGGAACATATACAAGCGTTCAGCGGTCCAGCGCGCGGCTGCCCGGTCTGTCGCCCGCATGGATGGCGACGTGATCATCGGTGCGCTGTTCTCCGTGCACCACCAGCCGTCCGCCGAGCGTGTGGCCGAAAGAAAATGCGGAGACGTGAGGGAGCAGTACGGCATCCAGCGAGTGGAAGCGATGTTCTATACGCTGGACCGTATTAACGCCGACCAGAACCTGCTGCCCAACATCACCCTGGGCTGCGAGATCCGGGACTCGTGCTGGCACTCTTCTGTGGCGCTAGAGCAAAGCATCGAGTTCATCCGAGACTCCCTCATCTCTATTCGGGACGACAAAGACGGATCTAAGTGGTGCATCGACGGGACCCCTTCCAACCAGCCTCCTCCTAGCAAGAAGCCCATCGCTGGAGTCATAGGTCCGGGCTCCAGCTCGGTGGCCATCCAGGTGCAGAATCTCCTCCAGCTGTTTAACATCCCCCAGATCGCTTATTCGGCGACCAGCATAGACCTGAGCGACAAAACTCTCTTCAAATACTTCCTCCGTGTCGTGCCCTCTGACACGCTACAGGCGCGCGCCATGCTCGACATTGTCAAACACTATAACTGGACTTACGTGTCTGCTGTTCACACGGAGGGTAAGTCACTGGCAGGAACCTGCCGTTTCTCACTGTTCCTTTTGTTAAAAGTATGAGACCTTTAAACAACTTTTCTAAACGACGTAAATGCCATACAGGTTTCACTGAGGACTGTAACACGTTTTCGTTGCTCATTTTGGCTCATTGACTCAAACTTCTGTATGTGTTTGCTCAACATGGTTGTATAGATTAGAAATCTACAAATGATCCCTAAACTGTGTAAATTAGTAAATTAATGTGAGCTGGTGTCTTGGTAAGGAAGGGAAGGGGAGTGTTTTACTACTTTTGTGTTCGTTGTAACACTTTTAAAAAGTCTGTAACTCAAAGTAGTTTAGAAATATATAACTTATCCCAAAATTGTGTAAAGTAATGCCAAGGACAAAGAGTTACTGGATGAATTGTAAATGGGAAAACATTGCCATTTTAAATTGTGTTCCTTAAAGTGTCAGTCCTCCCAAAATTAAAAAATTCTGTCATTAATTACTCCCCCTCATGTTCTTCCAAACATGTATGACTTCATTTATTTTGTAGAATACAAAAAATGAAACAATAAAAAACAAATTGAAGAATGTTTATAACCAAACAGTTCTGGTTCCCATTGACTTTCTATTGTATCACCAACAGTACAATGGAAGTTAATGGGACTGTTTTCTTGCCAACATTTTTCAAAATATCATCTTTTGTGTTCCACAAAAGAAACAAAGTCATACAAGTTTGGAACGCGAGTAAATGATGTCAGAATTTAAATCTGCTTCAAAATGTACTCCTCCCATTTTATTTGAAACATTTCAATTCAAAACAGCAAAGTAAATAGGTATAGAAAAAACAACATAACTGTCATTGTGGGTGTTGTGCACATATATATAGCCCATACAGTGTACCGTTATGTGCAATATTTGTGGGTCCAGTAGAAGAACATTGTTACAGCTGTAACGAATCAGCTCATGAGGACATATGAATAATTAATCATAACTAGTTATAATTAATTATGAATATTTAGATCCGCTGTAACACATATATATAGCCCATACAGTGTACCGTTATGTGCAATATTTGTGGGTCCAGTAGAAGAACATTGTTACAGCCCTTCCTGTCTGGTCAGCTGTGACAAGATTTCTAGTTTTTTTTTTTTCAAACATGTAGATTAAAGCTAAAATACTTCTATCATTTAACATCCTTTAACATGATTGCAAATCAAGCCAGAAATTTGACTTAAATACAGTATATACAGGGTATAGACTTATATACAGAATCTTACAACTTCTGCTGTCACTTTAGGAGAGTGCTGGTATGACAGTGGATTTCACCATTGTAGCTCTTTTCTAATTGATTAGACTCCATGTTACAACACTCTCTAGTTTCCCTTACTTTGACTATAGGTTGACAAAATTAGATTAGGTTGTGTAAGTCTGACTTTAAATATAAAAGCGTGAACGTATAACACACATGATTTAAGTGTTAACATTTTTAATTAAGTAAAAACAATTGGAAATGTTGTATTTGAAGGTAATGAGTGCACCACTCTTTAAATGTACCTAAATGGTAATGCACTCCCATTAAGTGCAAGTGGACCAAAGACCTTTTATTATTTGCATATGGAAGCATGCTTTAATGACTCAGTCAGTTTCTCCATACATAATGAGGGTAATAATGTATTCTCCCCTTCTCGCTCACAAAACACACATTTTTTTGTTGCTCCCTCCAGCACTGTTGTGTATATCACTTTCAATTCAGTTGGTGATTTGTTTATAAAATGTCCAGAGGTGGAAAGCTTGTCTGTTAAACCACACATTGTGATGATTTATGTCCTCATGGGCCACATCAATTTTTTTTTTTTTTTTAGTGTTTTAATTCTGCTCCACTAGTTGATGGAATTGAAAGTAAATAAGGTCAAACATGCTTGGTTTATAAACTCTTTAGGTTACTGTCAGCATACTTCAGTGAATAAAACACAATGTAACTGCTGCTAAGTTACAATTTTAGTAGTAATGCCTTGTTTTCATATTTCATCTACCTACTTCTAACAAGCATTTGTTAAAAATCAGAATATCCTAAAGTAAAGGGACCTTTAGACAGATTTAAATAAGCAATATAATGCTAATTCTAAGTTCACTGCTCTGTTGGTTTGGTAATAAATAATTAGTAAGATGACTTTTCCATCTCAGAATTGACTCTGTAATGGTTTATCAGGCACGAACTGTGGACTCATAAACACAACATCAGCAACTGTCTCGGACATTTCTGCCTGTTGCTCATAGTAACAGCAGAGATCTTTGATTACATTAATTACCCAGCCAAATATAAACTCATCTGTCTGGTTTAGAGACATTTTAATGGCCATATTTAAACAGGCACCAGTTTGAAACAAGCTTGATAATCTTTAAAAAAAAAAATACATAGAGTTCTATTGATGTAAATCCTGCTGAAAAGTAAAAAATAAAAGCTCAGTTGCTGCTTTTAACTGGTTTAAGCTGGTCTTCCATTGTGGTCTTCAGCTGGTTTGGCTGATCTCCCAGTGTGAGCAGCTAAAAAAAGTACCAAAAATCCCTCTAAAACCAGCCAAGTCGGCACACTAGTTAGTTATTACCAAAACAACAGAGCAGTGAACTTTGAGTATTAGATTAAAATGGTTTATTTAACACTCTGCTTGTGGTACCTCTCATTTGTAGGACATTCGTATATTTAAATTATTTTTGTTTCAAAGTAGGTTCACATACTCTAACAAAGACATGAAATGAATGGAAAAAGTTGAGTGTTCGGTATAATATTTTGATTTTGAAGTTCATTTGAGTTCAGTATCTTAACTCACAAGTCTGTTTTGTTTTTTGTTTTGTTTGTTTGTTTTCTCCACATAATTTTATGATTCTAAGCAGGAAGGCTAAAATAATTTCATAAAAAACATATACTGTATATACAGTATGTATATATATATATATATATATATATATATTATCAACCTTTCTAATTTTAGTTTAAGTTTATCAATATTCATTAATCATAAACATTTATGTAGTATTTTATGTCAGCTTTATTTTAATAACCAAACACATTTTTTAAATAGTTTTAGTTTCAGTTTAGCTAGTTAACAATAACAACACTGGTGCCATGTGTCCTTCTATACCAAATACATGGTTTAGAAAAAATAGGGTTTTAGGGCTTATAGAGAGAAAGAGAAAAAGGAAGCGACAAAGAATGAAACCTAAACCTGCAAAATACAGTTGTTCCAAACAATCTAAAAAAAAGAGAGAAACAGAGCAAAAAGGAATTGTTAGAGAGCCACAGAACTGTGAATGTGCTCAAATTGTTACCCGCACACCCACACTACAGAGACTGACCTCCAGACAGTCATCAGTGACCACACACCTCTCATCTTTCCTGATTAGACAGCACTGTTCTTATCACAAGCACAGTCAACAGCAGTGACCTCTGCTGCCTGCACAATAAGATGTAAATTTCGCCTGGCAGCCCAGACGTAGGATGGAACGGAAGATGTTTTAAGTGTACCATTGTGAGCCTGCAGCTTTTGTACGGACCCGTTTCTGATTCATACAATATTTTGAAAAGGACACAGTGTGTTCAAGTGACCTATTATGGTAATTTGCAGTAATTCTCAAGAGCACCACAAAGTATTATTGGTGTCCTACTTGTCTAGTTACAGTACAATGCCTGTGGAATATAATTAAAGGATAATGTTCAGTCAGCCGGTCCTTACCGCAAAATAAACCCAGACGGGGTGATCAGGTCTTGAATCACTCTGAAGGGATTCATTGCTTTGGCTACTTACATAATAAATAAACATGTGGTTGTGAAATATGAGAAGAAGAGGGATATGAGCTACTTAAAGGGGTAGTTCACCCAAAAATTTAAATTCTGTCACCCTAATGTTGATGTTTTTGAAGAATGTTTCAACTGTTTTTGTCTACACAATTGAAATCAATGGGGTCCAAAACAGCATTTGACTTTCATTGTGTCCTGAAATTATGATGGTGTAAGGTCAAAAATTATCAAAGACTTCTGCTTTCCTGTCCCAAACCTATCTTCAGTAACAAAAGGGCCATTTGGCATTCCTGAAGACACAGAGGTGCTGATAGTGATCAAGGCCTGTAGGCCAACATGTGTATACATCGGGGGTCTGCTAATTATCACACTCTTTTGCCCAGTGGGTGAAGCTGTAATCTGATGATTGGTCAGTTTGAATGTCTCACATTTGGTTTTTAGTCACATGGTCAAGAAAGGGATAAAAGAGGACTGTAACTGTTGCTCTAGCTCTTTCCTTTACCTCTTTTCTTTGCTTCCTCTCTCTTCTTGGGGCTCTGCCCTCTCTCTCTCTCTCTCTCTCTCTCTCTCAGGTAATATTTTACATACATGCTGGGTACAATTAATTGTTCATGTTTTACCATCCTTCATCTATTTTGTAACCAATTCAAGTGTAACCATAACAAAATATTGTTATTAAACCATTTAAATAAATGTCTTGATTCAACATTAATATCGAAGTGATACCTATTGCAATACAATATAGTCACTTAATAGCAACGCTCTCCCACATATTTAGCTATTCTAACTGCGCTTATTTCCGTCGTTGGTATAAGTGGCAGTGGGTGGTAATAGACTAGAAATGTACAGTTTTATACCATCGTGCTGACAACGTTTCTTTAGTCATTCTGCAATCCTACAGCCTGAACCACTGTAGAAAAACCATCCTTACAATGGTTTGGAATCATTGGCATCACATGATGGCGAATAAACAAGCTATGTAGAAAGTCTGTTGCTGTGTATCAGTTATTAAACAAGAATGATGCTGTGATCAACCATTCAGAATCATGTATTACAAAAAGGCATTTATATGAGATTTATATATTTGTTTTTTATTTTTTATTATTTTGTGTTTTCATTCTAACTGTATGATGCCATTTCTATCCAAAATGGTGGTGACCATTTCTCCATTTCATGTTTTTCAGTTGCCTGTCTGCCTGTCATTTTGTGTCCTCCATAGTCAACTATCATCCATTTCTTATCCTGGGCTCTGGCTGGTCTGACAGGTGTTGGATCAGTGGCGGTAATCCATCCTCCATTCTGTGTCTTTGATTAAAGCTGCACTAGTTTCATATGAGTTTTAGCTTATCCTTTATTAACCGTCCTACATTTTGTGTCTGAGCACAGGTAACTATGGAGAGAGTGGCATGGAGGCCTTTAAGGAGTTGGCCGCAGAGGAGGGTCTATGTATCGCCCACTCTGATAAGATATACAGTAATGCTGGAGAAAAGCACTTTGACCGTCTGCTTAAGAAACTGCGGGAGCGTCTGCCCAAAGCCCGCGTGGTCCTCTGCTTTTGTGAAGGAATGACTGTCCGTGGCCTGCTGATGGCCATGCGGCGCCGTGGGGTTTCTGGAGAGTTCCAGCTAATTGGAAGGTAAGGCTGAAAACTGTTCCGTTTCAGGGCAGGAGAAACCTCATCATTCATGATGCTTAGAAATAATTTGATCATGTTCAATCATGTCAGCGGAATAAATTGCAAGCTTTGGAAGAGACACAGAGGGCAAAAAAGTCTAAATGACACCCACACTGTCTTGCTCATGGTTATATCACAACTGAATCATCTTTGATGCTTTTGCATATTGTGTGCAAAATAAGCAAATGTGATTCTAATGCCGTGAATAATTATTAGTACATTTTACATGTTGCTTTAACTGCCTATGTATGTGTTTCATATTATGGCGAATGAAGAGCAGACATTGGAATGCTTGGAAATAAAATTGTTGCTACCGAATACACAAGTTTCCAGGGAAACCAGATGAGATTAAATATGGACATTGTGAACAGAGGCGCTTTTCACACTTTTCACCACTAATGAATAATTTTTGATTCAGTAGCTGGCTCACAAATCCCTGGAAACTGCCTCCTGCCTTTGTTTTATGTGGTGTGAGTGTTTGAGTTTATGTTTGGGTGCGTGTGTGCCAGAGAGGGTGGTCACTTGTTTTTAGATAGGGATGGAAAAATGCTGTGGGCTGGGTATTAAATATTCAATCTCACAGCCTCTCAGGAAATGTTTATGATGCCAAATAACCAGTAGGCAAGCAAAAGATGATCCTTGCTTGGTCCCCCAACAGTAAATGCATCATGCAATCACTTGTGAATGAAATTAAGAATGTGCCATATGTTTAGGGCTGTAGCTATCGATTATTTTAGTAATCGAGTATTCTACAGATTATTCCATCGATTAATCGAGTAATCGGATAAGAAGTCATTTTTCTTTATCAAAGAGCAATACTAAATATACAAGAGATAATAAGATAGATCTCTTAAAATAATAAACTAATTTGTTTTCTTTTTAGAAAAATTAGGCAAAATAAAGCAAAAACAGGCAATATAGTGTCTAAAACGTAAGTCTCATAATATTAACTTCTTGTTTATTGAACTGTTGAATAGAATCACATTTGTAATCATGCTGATTTTAGAGGTGAAAACTGGCACTCTTCGTCTGA